GATAAAATACATCAGGTTCCCAGACCTACATGAATGTAAAGAATAACTAATAAAACAAGAAATAAGTCAATAGTGGTACCTCATTCATCTTTCTTGCCGCAATTGTAGAAATTTTCTCCGACTCAGTAGGAAGTACTATAGACCACAATTGTTTAGTGTCAAAGCAATAGTCATCAGATACATCAAGGTTACATTTACCCTGATATGTGTGCCCTCTAATAACCCCCTGTTTTCTATCAACTGAGTACCAAAAAATATTCGATATCTCAGGAAGAATAATGTTGATAGATTCTTCAGTCCTGGGGTACAAGTGTGCACGATGGTTGGCATCCACGATAAGATGAAGCCTCTGTTCTCTAGAATCAGTAAAGGATAATGGGATGACTTGAAGAATGGAATGACCAAGCTTTTGAGAGCTGCGTTCTTTCCCGGTGTAGGAATCAATAACAGAGATAACACCCTGTGCATCAGAACTAATTCCACAGCGTCCAACTACAAGAACAGATGGATTCTCATCCATTGCATGATGATGAGGAACCTGCCACTGGTAGAGATTTAATGCAGATGGATTTGGGCAGCTTTCTGATTTACGAAGTGAAGGAAGTAAAACCGACCATACAATTCGTCCATCTCCAGTGTGCAGTGCCAAAACTTTTCCAGCCCTAGTTAGTACTATTATAAGCTTTCTGAATCCATTATGGTCACGTGTCATCTTATTTTTCTCAGAATTCTTTAATCTCATCCCTTGTATAGCAGCCAGGTCATCAGGACTTGCAAGCATGAGAGTGCCTTTGAGTTTCAGCAGGTGCCCCTTCCGTAAAAATTGGCACAGTTAAACAAGCAGTCAATAGAGGCATACACAGAATAATTACATAAAGTATTTGCCAATAATATGATGTACATAGACTTCTCATCTGACCTTAACAGAATGACGTATGAATAGTTAAAAAAATAAAGTAACACCATTAGCAGTAGTTTTTCATCTGAATCCAAAATTCTCCTTGTATATCCAAAGGGAAACATTTTTAAAACAAAGTGATGTAGCCATGTCGGATAGTATTTCAGATTGGTTGGTCTGATAGCCACGTTTCACAACAATAGGTATTCACAAATGGAAGATAAATCTACAAAACAGGTAGACGAAATATAGTGAAATAACAGGTAAAGAAGAAGATCTGCAAACTGATAGAAGGCTTGAATTTAACTTTATACATATCCAATGTTTTAGGTCAACCATTTTTAGCTTATGTGAAACATAATGAACTGACATATATTTCACAAATTTCTTGTATGTGGTCAGGATTTATAAGGGGAAAAAGTACCTGGAGCCATTCAAATAGGCTGTGCTCCACCTTTGCCACTGACACTCCATCCTTCTCAACTGGTAGCTCAGACGTGGTTGAATCTATAACCGATGCAAGCCCATCTTCTCTACTCCAAACAATTTCACCTTGTTGCACCAATAACAGTGAATGGTCTTCCATGACAAACAAGGCCCGAAATCCATGTGATCTGTCTGTTCGAAGATAATTATTTATAAAGACTTTATGAACGCGTCCTCGTTGATGGTCTATTGCAACAGTTTCTTTAAGAACCTCATTTGTCAATTCATTATCAAGTTTAACTCTGATATGGACTTTTGATTCTGCATTTTGCACAATAGCAAAAGCTTGATGACCAGAAAGTGAGACAGCATCACTGAGAGCCACTGGATAGTCAATTTTATCTATCAAGTTCAGCTGACTCAAGCCCTTGGCTTCTACCAGTACTGTACATAAATCGGTTTTCAAAGCAAACAGTCCACTAAACTTCGAAGGCAATAATTCAGCCTTCCCAGAGAAACCCTGAACTAGGTCTGAGATATGTGTCTCATGAAAATTTATAACTCCGCCTTGGAAGCCAATTGACACTACAGTAGATCTACTAGCATCCAACGCCACCAGCATGTCATTTGAAACAAGTGATGTTTCACCACTAAAACCATTAGTAAAGGAATCAACACTATGCTTAAGAAGTTCCCCGCTTTTAGCACTGACATGATAAGTTACAAACTGGGAAGAACCAAGGAATCCAACAACATATATGATCTCACTGCCATCAGGCTGAAAAACTCGCTGAATCTCTAGGCTGCAAGCATGGTGAATAAACAACTTATGAACCATACAATTCATAATGGGTAGCTATCTGACAAAAGAGAGAGTAGCAAGCTAATGATTACCCTTCAGATGAAAATTCTTTCTTCCAAACAATTTGCCCATCTTTGCTTGATATAGCATGAAGGGATCCTCCTCCAAAAACAAAGATGAGAATCTCTTTCTCAATGATGCTACCTGTCTGTAGGATTATTTAGTTCAGAACATATGTCTCTAGACAAAAACATGTATAGCTTAAGTAGGCTATATCACAAAAGAATAGATTACTTGCTAAGCACATGAATAAAGGATTAAGAAAATCATAACACAGGAAACCATTCCTTACCGGCACATATAACAAAGGCTTTGACGATGTCGAAACTTGAAGAATGGACTCCCAGATCAACAGACCATCAGGAAGATTCCATGCCCTCAACATGCTTCCTTCTGATGAGAGTGTAACAACATCTAAAAGAAAGGGGTTTATACAGAATCAAAATTGTCATGATTCCTGGAACAGCTGACATTACCTCTAGATTTTTATGAATATGGTATTATAAGAAAAGGGGTGATCGTACAATACAAGGACATGGAAAGTACCAATTACTTAAAACGAGAGAAACATCAAGGCTACATGCCATCACATTCCTTGGTGAACATATACGTCATTAAGGGAAAAATAAGGAATTTTCCGCTATAAAAGAGACTAAGTACAAGTTAAACTATATAATGCAACCACATATGGAACTAAGATAAATTAACGTGGAAGAAAGAGAATTACATTTCCCAAGAGCTATATCAATTTGGCCCACAGGATCATTCTTTCCGAGGACATGTCGCCAAACTGCATCAACCCAAAGCGAATAGAAATTTTAAGTATAATACCAAGCAAAAAAAAAGACTAAGAAAAAAAAACAATTTGTGCTTAAATTTGAACCCTAACTTCGGTTGTTTAGACTACAGCGAGTTGCTGAATGAAGAACAAGTTTATACTAAAAATAAAAGATTAAGTTGTGCAAATAGAAGATGAAAACTGTACTATTAAAAAAAACAGACTGAAGATGCAAAGAAACAAAAATTCTCATTGTGGGAAAATGAACATACATATATCGCCCCTGCGAAGATCAAGAGACGCAATTATGTTCTCCTCTGTAGAGACTACTACTCGCTTTCTCCCTGCCTTCTGAGTCTGGAAAATGGCCTGTTTCACTTTCCCAATGTATTTTTGATGCCTGTAGTGGAGATTCAACAATTCATATAAAGAAAAACTAAGATGGCATCATATTGGATAGAATAGTTGTCCAAATATTATATGTCCAAATCATGACATCTGCACAGGATATATCTTCACATAGTAAAAAGTTAGTACCCCAGATTTATAGCTTCAAAACACTCAGTGAAATTAGGCGGGAGACCAGGAACACAGCCAAAAAATGTTCACAGGCTTTAGGCAGACAGATTGAAGAACTGGACTATTATAGATATGTTTTCATATTCATATAAGATAAAGCAGTTATATCACATATTGACATTAGATGTTCCTCAACTTCTGCAGTTAGGAATTTTTGTTTATCTCCTTCCAATAAGCCATTTCTTGCATCCATATATTTATATTTCCTTAATCTTTGCAGTTAAAAGTTTGTTGAGAAGATTTCAGCCAGCTTATTTACCTACCTATCTAGGTGAAAAATGCGTAACGTCAGGTATGCAATAATAGTCTAGATAAGTCTTATGCAGGCACGTGGAGAGTTTCAATAGTGAAAACTCAGGCTAAAACATCAAGAAGAATTCTGATTAAATGAAGCAACATATTGCTCAACTTTAACCCTGAAACATGCTCAAATCTTGTGTGAGAGAGAAGAGATGTTTTCAGATCACCATAAAAGTACAAAGAGTATTAACTTCACATACTTATCACTAAGATGGAAAGAAATGCAAACAAAGAATAAATGACACAAGGGAAGTTGCTAAGATCATCTCTACAAAAGCATAAGTGCATAGCCATGCCAAAGTGCCTAGAAACTGAATCACTTCACAGGTAGAATTGAAAGCATCATTTAAATTAGGAATAGGGTGTCAGCAGTTGTTCATTTAGTAAACTCTAATTTCTCAAACAAAAACTTACAAGTCTTTTTTATGCATAATGAGGTTATTATACAGAAGGAGTCTTCTAGTTTAACTTTTCTGGGCAGCAGATACCCTCAAGGGCCAGAATCTTCAACTTAACCCCACCCCCACCCCCTCCACTTCTAAGTTTTCTTATCAAAATACAATTGAAAGTTGCGGCCAGGAATTGATGTTTGCACAGATGGAAAGCCTGAACAGAACTTGAGGTCGTGGAAGTGGTTGGATTGACATAAAAAAGTTAGAAACAAACCAAAGTTCCTTGTAGTATTTTGGGGGAAAAGAATCAAAGAGTCAAAGTTCATCGTAACATCGGACCAAAACTTAAAACCAATGGTAGGTGTCATGCTTTGGGAGCATGAAATTTGTCGCGCCTAGAACAGAATCGGCCTGAACATTCGTCTCCCGCCTCCCCCTTCAAACCCAACCCCAGACACAACACACTCACTACAAACATACACAACACCAAAAAAATTCAAAGGATAACGACAAAAGAAAAAAAAAGTAAATAAACACCACCACCACCAACAACAACAAAAAAAAAAGTAATAACAACAAAGAAGATCTACACAAATAAGAAAATATTTCATTAAACCACATCTGGAAAAAAGATACAATAGCTAACACAACAAACATCATTATCAAACCGTCACTGGAGTTGTGAATTGTGAAAAGAGGGAATAAAAATGTAGGGGAAGTTCTAAATTATCCTGATGTAAAGGTGGTTATCTTATCTCATTGTATCTTTCAAGTGGTGAGTATTATTTTCATGCTCATTGAAAACCAAAGGGCTTAACAGGTAGAGGTTGAATTACTGAATCTTATCAGGAACACTTTACAATGGTATTATCAGCATCTCTCCGAACAAGGGGGTTCGAGTCACGCAAATATTTTGGTGGTGGGGTATTACTTTGGTTTGATCTATCTTGTTATGAAACATAACTAATTGCTCATAGTAGAACAGAACAATTCAATGGTTCTTTTGTGTTAATGACATTCTGAGCCCCAACAAATTCGAATTTTGAGTAGTAACTTCTGCAGGAGCATGACCTAATATTCAGAAGGAACTATAACTGAAGAAATTCCTTTTGTCAAATCACACAAAGAGAAGCGTTCTATATATTGTCTATTAACTTTCAGTGCCACAAACACTAATCTATAAACCTTTCCACTAATCCCCTCAAAAGTCATGTCTAAATATCATAAGAAATATGAAATGATGAAATTAAAGTGTTATGATGTTAAGCCAATGATTCCGTTTAATGACTAGAAAATTTACAAATTAAAGCATGAATTATCTTCAGTTAAGCTACTAAAACCCTAGTCTTTCATGCTGATGCTTCTACTATGATAGTCACAATTCAAAGTAACAAGAAAAAGAAACATTCATGAAAAAAAAAAGTACTCGATCTCAAACTTCATCAGACCAAAGTAGATCAAGGAGAAAATTCTACAGAATCAGAATTAATAACTTTGAGATTTACCAATCGGCGAGCCCCACTTGATCCTCATATAGAGCAGTGGAGAGATTGGAGAGAAAAAGGATGGTTAAAAACCCTAACAGAACTCTGACCGCCATGGCCAGAGATGAAAACGGAGAAGAAAGAAGAGCGAGGAAAGGAGAGAAGGCGGATCTATAGAGAGAGAGAGATGTTAGCTGCTCTTGCGAATCAGGATCCGTACAGTTCATGCGGGTCGGATCGGGTTTCTTCGTTCTAACCGTTTAGGTTGACAAGTCACAAATGTATATACGGGTAAATGGTTAGGGTACACAAAAAGTATCCATATATGAGGAAATATCTAAATATGTATTGGTCATACCTTTACAATAAGGGGCTGTTTGTTTGCTAAAAAAACAAGAAATTGAGCTTTTGTGACCTCACAAGAGCTTCGCTTCGATTTTTTTATTTCACCCCATTTTCATTTCCAGCGTTTGGTTCATTGAGGGTATTAAGGAAATGGAGCTGTGAAATAGGGTGCCACATCAAAATTTATAGAAAACTCATTTCAGACCAGAAGTGGCTGAAATGGGTGAGAAATAAATTTAATAAGGAATAAAATATTGTCCCGCTCACATTTTCGAGACCCGAAGTGGCTAAAGTGGCTGAAATGGGTCAGATTTTTTTATTTTCAGATTTTTTGGTTTTTGGATGTTAAAACAAACCAAAAAAATGGGAAACAGTGGTTTACATCCTATGATTTCAAGGTGAAACAAACCAAAAAAAATCAAATATGAGAAATCCTCTGAAATGCACTGAAATGGATTTCAGCATGGTTTGTGTTTTCTTTTTTTTTAAGGAAATGAACCAAACAGGCCCTAAGACTAAAGCATTTGATGATCAATATATTTAACCTTAGCTTTTTTGATGTAACGAACATATTAAATAACTCTCTTGTATCATATGAACAATACTTTTTCAAATTATCTAGTTTTCTCATATCCATTTCGCATGTATATCCGCTTATATATCCTCACGCATATCTGTATCCGATTTTAGTGGATATAGATATTATTGATGACTAAGACCAAGCAGTCAATCAGATCCGAGATGAGATCGGTTCTGATCTGGAACTGGATCGGTTCCTCCTAGGTCCTCGCCGGGACCAGGTAGAGGAGGTTGATGAATGGGCCGCTTCCTTCTCTGACTTTATGCCTAGTTTTTGAATGGGGGGGCTGAAGTCCACGCTGCACAGAAAAGAAGATCAAACCCGTGAGAGCGCGGTACCGGTTCCCCTGTGGTTCCTCCGACGGTCAAGTTAGTGAAACTCGAGTGGGGAAGGGGAATGTTAGGAACCGATGTGGTTCTTGAGGTGGTAATGTGTCGTTACAGAGGATCTGTGTGTATTCCTCTGTGTAAACGAAGAATTGTGTGTTCTTTTCCTTTCTTAGAGAGAGAGAGCGGGGAAGTGAGCCAACCTTAGATTGAGCTTGGCCTTAGATTGAGCTTGGCCTCCCTTGAGGTTAGAAGTCTACCTGTATATATCTCTGTTATGGGGATCAATGGGTCACTTCTAGCCAAGCATAGGGAGGTGGTGGTGAAGTGCGGGCTAAGAGCTGAGTCATCCCTCGCTTTACATGTGTCGCATCTCGACCATACGGGGATTCTGAAGACCTAGGCACCTACGTAAAACCTAGGTACCCAACATTAGGGTTGTCATTCGGCCTCAAGGCTACCGAAGACCTAGTTAACTCTCAAGAGTTCTAGGCATCCGACTCCTCAGTTGAATTTTAAGCCCTTGTTACCTCTTCAGGGTAAACCCAAGGCACAACATATGGTTGAATCCTCCAGTGCTACTTGACCATCATGGCTATTTAAAAACCCAGGCGTCCAAATAAGTTTTGGGCGACCCAACCTCAGGGTTGGCATGTCAACAAGCCCTTGGTACCTCTTTATGATAAACCCAAGGCACAACCCTATGGTCGACTCCTACAGTCGTCACTCGACCATACGGAGATTCTGAAGACCTAGGAACCTACGTAAGACCTAGGCACCCAACCTTAAGGTTGTCATTTAGCCTCAAGGCTACCGAAGATCTACTCAACTCTCAAGAGTTCTAGGCATTCGACTTCTCAGTCGAATTTTAAGCCCTTGGTACCTCTTCAGGGTAAACCCAATGCATAACATATGGACGAATCCTCCAATGCTACTCGACCATCATGGCTATTTAAAAACCCAGGCATCCAAATAAGTCCTGGGCGACCCAACCTTAGGGTTAGCATGTCAACAAGCCCTTGGTACCTCTTCAGGATAAATCTAAGGCACAACCCTATGGTCGACTCCTACAGTCGTCACTCGACCATACGAGAATTTTGAAGACCTAGGCCTTTACGTAAGACCTAGGTGCTCAACCTCAGGGTTGTCATTCTGTCAAAAAGGTATTTATGTCATTTTGCGTAAGCCTAAGGTATGGATATTAAGTGTTCGGCCGATACTTAATTGACCCTAAAAATTTTAAGCAGTCATCTGTCAAGTTCTGGTCAATTAAACACTTAACCAAAATAAGGCATCAAGTGAACTAGTTGTCATAAATCCTCGGCACGGGTCGACACATTACAACTAACTCACTTCCACCAACATTTTAGTTCTTAATAAGAACAAAGCTACAAAGTTAAAGGAATATAAACAATGAAGGCAACCTCAAGAATGGAAATAAAAGTTGACTTTCATTCAATAAGAGTAAACTTCATTACAAATCTCTTTACAAAAAAAAGAAGAAGAAGAAAGAGACATGCAGGTCTTTAGAGCTCTTGACCAGATCCGGGAGTTAGACTTGACGGTCTCCTGGCAGTAGCAGCTGCAGAAGATTCCCTAGGGGCCCTAGCAACAGGCACAACCTCATCATCACTCGCCGATAAATTTAACCCGCCTTCGCTCTTCTACACACTTCAACAAATTAAGACAACATGAGACGCGGGAAGGATAAAAGCAATCTGGAGAAGGATGAGATCTATGAGGCACTAGAGAAGCGAAGTAGTCGACTCCGGCCTTACATGCCAAAGCCACTTCAACTCTTCCAAAAAGGCCATGACGTCAGTCGTCGACCACCTTCTTTTTGTGTTGCTCCGAATTCAGACAAACAAGTTTGTCCTCCAATTCCTTGACAAAGGTTGTGGACGCCTGAATCTTTGACTGCGGCTCCTCAAAACCCCTCCTTGACTTCTCAAGAGATAGGTGTAGGTCTAAAAATCACTGCAGATAGCTGATCCTCATCAGTGTGAAGATGGAGAAGAAAGAAGGTGAGCTTCAGAATCTTTATTTCTTCAAGAACCAAATGTAAGAATTACAAGCTGACGGTCCTTGCAGAACTTGAGAAAATAGATTACAGTTGACGATCTCTTCAAGCCCAAACGCGATCCTCACGTTTCAACAACAAAACGCGGAGATCATTCCCGCGTTTCAATAACAGAATACGGAGGTCATTCCCGCATTTCAACAATGAAACACGGAGGTCATTCACGTGTTTTTTAAAATCAAAATGCGGAGGTCATTCCCACGTTTCAACAACAAAACGCAGAGGTCATTCCCGCATTTCAACAACAAAACGCGGAGGTCACATCCCTGCGTTTTGAAGCTAGAACGCCGACGTCACATTTGACCGTTTCAAATCACTTGAATGGTTTTCCATTTAATGAGGCAATTAAGCTCCCATTATGGAGAGATTTATGGGGGTGGTTACACCCCATAAACCCTCATTAAGGAGTGATTGAAGGGGGTCGGTTACACCTATTTAATGGGGCCATTAAGCTCCCATTAAGGAGCAATTTAAGGGGTCAGTTACACCCATTAAACCCCTATAAATAGCTGGTTTCACATAGGAAAGAGGGTGAGCAATCTTGAGGAACCCTTGGAGTATTTTGTGAAGGCTTTTTGTTGAAGCTTTGGAGCTTTTCGGTCTTGGCTTTTGAACCGAGTTTCGGTTGAAGAACTGAAGATCAGTTATTCTCTGATTTCTATTAAAAGGATCATTTTCCTTTCTAAAATTAACTCTTTTATAGAGTTCTTAAACTTGTTCAGAGTTCTTAACTCTTCTAGAGTTCTAAACTTGCCTCGCAAGTTCTTCCCGACATCAAGTCAAGAGGAATAGACCACATTCCACGAAGTGAAGTGCTCGAATCATCAACTGGATACAAGATTCAAACTCCTATAGCCACCGAGAAGAACCCAGTATTAAACAAAGGAAATGACCTCTGTCGATTCCTTCTCTCTTTTGTAAATCGAGAAACCGATAAAGAAAAGTTATAATTTCTTTTTCTAAGTTGGTTAGAGAGAGATTACTGTGAGAGATTGTATTCATTCTTACCTTAAGTCAGTTAGAGAGATTAATATAAATTTGATTCTTAATTTTCTCGTAAATTTTCCCCACAAACAAAAGATGACGACTCTGCTAGGGATCAACTTTTTCACCGATGAAGAAGTGGTGGCGTAATCCGTCATCAACCTCGCTGGAACAACGGTTGAAACTCTTCCTATAGAGTTCGATCAAGCCAAGTATGAAGAGTTACTCTCCTCCGGATTCCTTAGACCCAAGGTTATGCGCAAGATCCGCAGTCTCCAAAGAGACTAAAGCTCCAATTGTGGCCAACTCGCCAAAGGAGGATCTCTCCCTTGGGCTAGACTACTCGGATAGCCCCTCCTCTAAAGGAGAAGATTCAGGTCCAATTCAACTCGTCAATCGAGTTAGAAGCCTTACACCCGTGCCCAAAACAAAAGGTATCGAGTCATAAGAGGCCTATTGCCATGACTAACTTGATTACTACAGATAGTGATGTCACTGTAAAAACCTTAAATTAGGCTAAAAAGAACGTTGCTCGACAAAGGAGAAGGTTTCTACGACGAGCACAACTCCGAGAAAGCCGATCCTCCAACCAACGTGAGCTTCACATTTGTGAGCCTCAACATGACCTTGAGCTCCGCGTTTCTGCTTTATAACATGAGCCTCGCGTTTATGTTCCCAAACACAACCCTCACAAAAACCAGGCTAAACGCGACCCTCAATAGCGCGTTCCACAGACAAAATGCGGACCTCGAATCGGTGTTGAACGCGAACCTAAGCTTTGTGTTACTCAATCAAAACGTGAACCTCACGTTCAGAAGGGGTTACACGTGATCCTCGCGTCCCCACTCTCAAACACGACCC